ATGATATGATATGATATGATATGATATGATATGATATGATATGATATGATAAAAGTGCATATCATTCAACATCAGCACACAAGCACAGGTGTCACAGTCGGGCCAGGACGTGGGGAGGCGCCTGTGACAGAGATGGAAACTCCAGCCACCTTGAGAAGTGGGCACGAACGGCTACATCCCAGACTACTGTCTCCACCCTGTCTCTTTGGGTGCTGCCCCCTAGGGGCTGGTCTGGTGACAAAATGTCACCTTCCGTGGCGATACAGGTCACAAAGACAGCCAGGATGCCTACTATGTGCAGAACCTACTGGGGTTTTGAGCACAGAAACCTTAACTGTTAAACTAACTGCATTCGTAGGAAAAAGAACATGGCATGGGAGGTCACTGCTGAAGGGACTGAGCAGAAGAAAGGGCAGATGGTCTTGATTCAGTAATAAGGGTTCGCCGTTACAGTTCCCTGACACAGAACTTGGGGAGTGCTGTGCAGGCACCTCTCCTTCCCCCTTTATATCCCACAGGTGAGATTATCATTTCTGTCTTACAGCTGACGATCCTGGGACACCAAGTGGCTGACACACAATCAAACTCCCGTCAGCCTGAGTAAAGGGCCAAGGCACACACCTCTCATGGTCCTTCTGGAGTTCACGGGGAACTGTAGTGTGTGGACAAAACGTGACACCAGATGTTCCCCCAACAGGCAGGGGAGGCACATGTGTCCTCATTCGCTCACCTGCAACATGAGGGGAGTGTACACTCACGTTCCTTCTACAGGGGGCAGGGCAGCCTCAGGCTGCTGTCCTGTAAGAACTGGGGTACGTTTACCAAAGATAACATCTAGAATCTTTTGAAAGATAGCTCAGCCGGAAAAAGTCCTTGCTATACAGAATTGATGCCTGAGTTTCATCCCTTGAACCCACTGGATAGTTTTCTCTGACCGCTGGATGTGCTGGATGTGAGCTCTCAAAGCCTCCACATCATATACAATGAGGCCCAGACCCAACGGCCAGAGAGAAGGCTGAGGGTGCCAAGTGTGAACCCAATTGCGGCTGTGACCAATCAGACACCCACCCCTTCCAGGACAATGCCAGAGAAAGCTACATACAGAATAAGACTTTTTGTTTCTCATTTTTGTAGGGTAGGGTAGGTTCACACGGACAATCTCAGGTGCCCTCACCTTTCCTCCTTGCTTGAGACAGGGTTATTCCAGCCCGTTAGGTTAGCAGGTTCTGTGTATCAAATTGCCCTTTTCTCATAATGCCTCAGATTATACTCTACATTTTAGCTTGGATGTTTCTGTATTTATAGAGGGAAATATGGAGCTTCACACACACACACACACGCACACAGAGCTCTCATTATCCTCTTTAAGGGTACACCCCCAGTGCCCTAACTTGTTCTAAGTGTTACCTCCTAAATGTTCCATTCTTCCAATCAGTCAGTCAGATGCTGGGGCCCAAGCCACAAATACATGTGCGTTCTTCATGTATTTCAAATAGAAACCATTACAACTTTTATTATGCTTAGTTTCTCTATGATGTCAGAAATAACTTAATTTTTTTGTTGTTGGAGATTCCTTTTTTAAAAAAATTGCATTAGCTTCTTTAGCATCTTAATTCTGGAATCAAGTAAATATATTTATCATTATTTAAAAATGTTTCTGATAAGACTTCCAGGGGTTGAGATACAGTTTAGGATTGCCTGGATTGCCCAAGAATGTTTGAAGTAGGGCAATGACAAACACAGGGTGAAAAGCAAACAGAATTTCCACACAAATCCCAGAGGGGAAGGTTACGGGGGTGAGAGACAGCACAGCACAATACAGGCAAAGTTAGGGAGACGAACGGAACAAGGAAGTGGCTACTTTCAGCACAGAGACATATGCACACCATTGTGGCAATTTCCTAGCATTCCGAGTATTAAATAAAGTCACTGTGACACAGTTAATCCTGCATTTGAACTTATATCCATCATCTTTTTTTTAATACTTATTTATTATGTATACAATGTTCTTTCTGCATGTATGCCAGAAGAGGGCACCAGGCCTCATTACATATGGTTGTGAGCCACCATGTGGTTGCTGGGAATTGAACTCAGGACCTTTGGAAGAGCAGGCAATGCTCTTAACCACTGAGCCATCTCTCCAGCCCAGCCAACTCCATCTTTAAGTGACTGTTACAGAGTATGATTTAATCATGATTGTAAAAACTGGACAGGCACCTTTAAGACATTTCTTGTCTTCCATCTCAAAGTGTCCATCTCAGAACCTTAATAACAGGAGTCAAAATAAAGACAACGAAATAAAAGAAAATCTAACTTATGACACAAATACGTAAAAATTTATTTGTCCCCAAAGACATCTCATGGTTTGCAGATAGTGAGGATGGGTCCATCACAGCTTCATTGAAAAATCCTGATTTCAAGTGAAATTGTATGACACCGTAGGTAAAAGTGCAGTCCGGTCCCGGCGGCAAACTAGCTCATTTTCCGTGTTCGCTCGAGCTTCCAGGCGCCCAGCAGATACCGCAGGCGGATGAAGAGCAGATCTCTGCCCATTTGTAGCCAGCTCCAAAACGGAACCAACTTAGAACCTGCAATTAAAAATCAATTAAACTGCAAGAAATGTGCAGCAGTTCAAAGTGGTATCCAGTGACTGGGGCTGGGAGGTAGAGAACAGTTTTCTACATGTGTGAATACCTGGGCACATGTGCATACGCGCGCGTGCACACACACACACACACACACACACACACACACGGAGGGGGGAGTTAGCGACCTTTGAGAGCACCTAGCATCTTAATTTTATTTAAATCCTGTTTAAGTTATAAAGCTGAAGTGACTCTTCTCCCAAAATAAAGCTAAGTCTCTCAGCGCAAGGAAACTCGGGTGACTCTCAAGTGTGAACGTTTCAGACGCCAAGAGGAAAAGGGTTCGTGCATGGAGAGTACTAGGAATTGGGTGGCAGCTCAAGAAAAGTAATAATTTCACAGAACGCTATAAACATACACACAGAAGGCCTACAAATGCGCCTCCCTCCTTCTCTCTCTCCCTCTCTCTCCCGGATAGAAGCTCAGCTAAGGCAAGTCTTGGACTCACTAGTAGTCCAACCCGGCTCTGAACCTGTGACCTATCCTTGCCTCACCTACCTGAGGCCTGGACCACAGGTGTGCACCCCCACACCAGCAATGCCTAGACTCAACAGTGACAATGACGCCTGTGTCCAGACAGCAGCTGCCTACCACTCTGCCTCCGGCTACAAGGGGGTAGCAGTCTAACTGGACGTCTGGTCCCTAAGGACAGTGGTGTGGTACCTGCCAGGCAGTGAACATTTACCAGGAGGAAGGCTCAGTGCTCATCACATCTAATAAGCTCCACCCCCAAAGCAGACCCTCCTTCCACCCTGAGTAAACAGTTTTCTTCTGGAAACATGGCCACTAACACATTCTGGAGACATTCTCTATTGTTAACTGGGGACAAACTAGGAAGAACTCTAACACCACAACTACCTCTGAGATGCAGAGGAGCCAACAGCACACACCTGAAAATGATTTTAACCCCCAGCCCCTTCAAAGTGCCCACAAGGTTGTCCTCTTTGACGCTAGAATAATGGTTTGGATTTGTTAAGTTTCTATAAACACACTGTAGTTTGTAGAAGCCAGAGGCACCCAAACTCAGGCAGGACACATGCTTCTGTGTCAGGACTCCCAGAGGGGGTTGGAGGCCAAGTGCACAGGAGAGGAGACTGCAGAGGACTTCAGCTGGCCACACCACTGCCCCACACAGTGAGGAGTTTGGGTTTGTCCCAAGGTAAATGCAGGAGACAGTGAGAGCTCACCCTGCACACAGACAGACTGCTGGGAAGGAGCCTGACACACGTTTATAAAGATTTCACGAGGTTGAATTTAAGAGGCCTTTACACTGGGGATCATGTGTAGCTACACCTAACCCTGTGGAGGCCGGGATGAGGTCAGCTTGAGTCTGTGAGTTCACAGTAAGCCTCGGCAATGCAATGAAACCACACTTAGAAAGCAAGGGCACAGGGTTCCGGATGGCTATGACACTCATGGTCCTTCCTTAGCTCCGCACAGGGTTTGGAGTGCCCAGCTAGTAACACTTGAGCACCAAGACCTTGTCTACTGGAAACCTGGGCCAGAAGGAAGCCCATCAAAGACTCAAAAGAGTCTGGAAAAACAGCAGAAAGAAATTTGATGGAACACAGAGAGCTCTGTGGAGAGGTGGGAGGCCCTGGTGAAGGACGGGGTCGACGGGTGCCAGCAGACTCTCTCAGACAACTACACTGCCCAGCTAAGGACCAGCTGTAAATAAACAGTACACTCACCCTCAATTTCAGTCCAGTTGACGGCGACTTCCGCTATTGGAATTTTAAGAAATTGTGCTATGTATAGCAGTTCTACATCAAATGCCCTGAAACAGAAAATATATTGTTTATTTTAGAAAGGACAGGTGGGGGCATCAATCAGATGTCTAGCAGGGCAGATGTGAAACTTCTATGTAAAACTGAAGGCCAGGCCCTTCAGGTAGGCCTCTGGGAATACTGGGTAAGCCTCTGAGAACCGAGAATGATTAGCGTGGGACGCTGACCACGGAGCAAACGCAGACACCTAGACCCGAAGACCACCTACTTTACATTTTAATCAAGGAAATTAAAGACTTCAAACACACGCAAACATACATACACACACACACACACACACACACACACACACAAGATAATTTAAATTTTGACTCTAGTTTAAGAAAACTTTTGGGGGCTGGAGAGATGGCTCAGCGGTTAAGAGGATTGCCTGCTCTTCCAAAGGTCTTGAGTTCAATTCCCAGCAACCACGTGGTGGCTCACAACCATTTGTAATGAGGTCTGGTGCCCTCTTCTGGCCTGCAAGCATACACACAGACAGAACATTGTATGCGTAATAAATAAATAAATATTTTTTTAAAAAAGAAAACTTTTGGGAGTTTATCTGAAACCTATTTCTAGGGAGGATGACTGATCTTCAGAAACAGATTCACAAACGTGGTAGAGACATAGAACATGGGCATATCTTGGATAATCACGGCTACCCATCAGGAACAAGTTACAGAGAACTTGCAATTAACGCTCAGCAAGGATGCTTTCAGCAGTGTCCCCGGGCAATGAAAATGCCAAGCACTCTTTGTAGCAGAGGAGATTAGTCAAGTCAGGAGGGATTCCTTCCCTTCTAGAACTTTCTTCCTCCTCGGAGCTGGAGATCGAGCCCAGGGCCTCATATACGCAAGCACTCTTCCAACTAAGTGACATTTGCAGCCCCTCAAGAGCCTGTGCTTGGAGGAGAGAAATCAGACTGAAGGAATGACCCCGGGGAGTGAGAACAGGTGTTATGACTGTAACAGCGCACAGCTGGGACAGAGGAGACACAGGTGGGGCCGCTTTGCAATTCCTCCAAAGGTCAGGGGAAGCCACTGCAGGATTAGAAGCAGAAGTGTGAGTGTGATTACAAAGATTCCTCGGGCTGCGAGGTGGTGGAGGTGGAGAGAAACTAACAGCTGTGGCCACGGCTGGACGCCTGCAGGGGCTGAATCAATGTCAGGGCTAGTTCAGGAGGCAGGAATGACAAGTATGGAAGGTAGGAGAGGGACAGATGGGGGGATGAAGGCAGCAAACAGGGCACTCTTTCAATAAAAGGCTGTGGATGGAGCAAACAGGGCTGGACAGACAGGGTCAATGGATGGGGTTTGAAGGCAGATGAGACAAGGAAGGAGGAACACAAGAGAGAAAAGAAATGGAAAAGGCTAGGTTTGAAGATGGCAGGAGAGAGCTCAGCAAAGAGCCAGGCTGAGGAGAGAGACCCACCAACTGGAAAGGATCATGAGGAGCAAAGGGAGGCTTAAGGGTGAATTCTAGCCACACAGCGGACACTGCCGGTGTTAGGTGAGCATATAACACACACGTCAATCTGGCTCCATCTGGATACTCATCATATCCAGGTGAGACAGCAGGGCTCTATCCTATCATCTGGATGCCAGATAGGAAGGCAAGCATGAGACATTCCAGTCAGAAACCTACCATCGTTCGATGTGCAGAGATGAGAAGGTCCGGGCTGCTGCTTCTCGGGTCAGTAATTTGAACCCACACTGCGTGTCCCTGATTCCTTTGACACAAAGGAACCACACCAGGAAATGGAATCCATACATAAGCAGAGTGCGGAAGTAAGAGCGCTAAAACAAGGGCAAAAGAGAAATCATTTCTCCATTCTGGGAGACACTGGGGTGGGGGGTGCCTCCAGTCTGGACAGCAGGGATTGGAGGCCTTGTGAGCAGGGTGCTGCTTCAAGAGCAGAGCATCATGGGAGAAGCCACTGTTTCCGGGAGCCTGGGTCCAAGAGCAGAAGTTCAGGACCCGAGGGGCCAGCTCTGCACTGACCTATCTGCTTTGTTCTTAACCATCAGTGAAGTACAAATACAAAAGAAAGGTGTCCTCTAAACAGAGGTGAGCCCTGCCTCCTAGGCTGAGAGCAAGCTGGCCTTGAGTAAATTACAGCGGAATGGCGTCCACTTTCCAGAGTCAGTAGGGGAGTAAAACACAGTTATATCAAAGCTGTGAGCCATGTGCTTGGCCAGAGAGTAACAGGAACTCAGGAACGGTTTCATATGGAAGGCTGACAGCTTTCCTCTCAAGCACAGATCCACTGTGACTGGGCGGGAAGGAATATCAAAGCCCCCATCTATAAAACATGTGAAGCCCTCTGTCACCAATCGTGTTCTGATGCAGTGGCTCTTACCTCTCTAAGCAGGTAGGGGTGGGGAAATCTCATCTTAACACACTTTGGGAAGCTCACAGCTGCCTACTCAGTGTCTTCCACATAAAATACTCCCAATAAATACTGGAAGACTGACTAATCTCCTCAAAGGGCAATTATGCCAAGGAAAGGGACAAACAGAAACCGAAAGACAGGAAAATGAAAATTCAAGGTGGAAAACACACATGCAACACTTCCGCTTAAACAGTTGTCAGTGTGATGTGTGTGAGCACAGAGGACATTCCCACGCTTGAACAGTTGTCAGTGTGATGTGTGTGAGCACAGAGGACATTCCCACGCTTGAACAGTTGTCAGTGTGATGTGTGTAAGCACAAAGAACATTCCCACGCTTTGCTTTGCTTGGTGGTAATAGGGCTTTGTCATATTTTAGAATGCAGCTGTTTATTAAAAAGCAGAAGATGAGAAATTCACAAGAAAAGTTTAATGTGTTTGTTTTGGTTTTTGAGACAGCTTTTCTCCATGTAGCTCTGGCTGTCCTAGAACTCTCTCCATAGTCCAAGCTGGCTTCAAACTCACAGAGATCGGCCTGCCTCTGCCTCCTGAGTGTGGGATTAAAAGTGTGTGCCACTAACGGCCAGCCTAATTTATCTGATTTCTAACACACATGAAAGCGTAACAGGGACAGAGAGATGACTCAGCAGGCAAGAGCACTGGCTGCTCTTGCAGAAGGAAGACCTGGGTTCAGTTTCCAGTAATACCAAGGCCTCTGATGCCCTCTTCTGGCCTTCAAAGTTACTTCACATGTGTGGTTCATATACACATAAGCAAAACATGCATGCATACAAAATAAAGGAGAAAAAAAAGCAAAATAATCTAGATAAACCACAAAGAAAATCTTGCTTTAATTTTTTAAGCTTAAAAACTTGAAGATACTTAAAATATATTGTAAGACAGACTTCAGTAGATGAAGTTAACAAAGAAACAGAGTTTAAACCGGGCAATGGTGGCACACGCCTTTAATTCCAGCACCCAGGAGGCAGAAGCAGGTGAATCTCTGAGGCCAGCCTGGTCTACAGAGTGAGTTCCAGGACAGTTAGCAGCTAGGGCTGTTACACAGAGAAACTCTATCTTGAAATACCAAAAAGAAAAAAAAAAAGAAAAAGAAAAGAAAAGAAAAAGAAACAGAGTCTGTAATTTCTGAAATAGATATTTAGTATTAGAAAGACACTGTCTCAGAATAAATAACAGTATCCCCAAGGTCTATAAAGTGCAGGAAGACAGGAGAAATATAAAGCTGGTAATTTCTTTAAAAAACTAAAGGCATCAAACAAATGCCAAAGGATTCCACTCCTCAGTACTTTTAAATGATAAATTCCAAAGGCACCCACAAAGAAACTAGAGCATTCTATCTGTGCCTTGCCTGCCTTCCGGGAGAGCAGCAACAGATGGAATGACACTGCGGGTACAGTAAAACACAGAAAAGCAGCAGCCAGATGCTGTTCGTAAGCCACTCAGTCTGCTATTTGGCATCTTAATTCTTTGATGATTTTTTTTCCCACTGTGCTTGGACTGGTCCCCATGGCTTATGTTCTGTGTGGTAGGCGGAGAAATAGAAGGTCAAGCTGTCACTCCTCAACTAGACGTGCCTCATGCCTCCAGGAAACAGCTTTTCCTAAGGCAGGAGTAGCTAATGATCTGGACAGCAGTCCCACTAGATGGCAGTCACGAGCAGCAATGCAGCAGGCAACCTCTACTTGCCAGCGAGTGGCATGAAGGGCCAGAAGCCCTGAATCAACCACTAGGTTGAGAGGTGAAGAAATGGATACAAAATAAGTCACAATAAATATGTAGACCTGGGAGAGTCCTAATCAGCCTCCAGAGTGCTGGGAGCCCCACTGTGCCAGGCTTCACGAACGCAAGTTCTAAGTCAAGAGAATTTACATCTTTAAAAATAAAACCAAAGGGCTGAAGTTGCAACTCAGAGGTGAAGCACTGGCCTAGAGCACACAAGGCCCTGGCTTTGAGCCTCAGTACTGTAGGAAAACAAAGGGTTAACCTAAAACACACAGCCCAGCAGCATGCAGAGGCCTCTCTCCTCCTTGATGATTCCAGTGACTCCTGATTCTTCATTTCTCATTCTTTATTTTCCTTCACCAAACAGATGAGCCCTGGCCTATAGTGCTTCATATTAAAAATAAAAAAGATTTTCTTTAATTTTATGTGTATACGTGCTTTGTACGCAAATTCGTCTGTACCACATACACACATACAGTTCCAGAAAAATGTGTTGGATCTCCTGAAACAGGAGCTGTAGACGGCTGTCAGCCACCAGGTGGGGGCTGGGAACTGAACCCAGCGCTCGTAACCACTGAGCCAACTCTAGCCCCAAGCTTCATAGTTTTAAAAGGGAAAATTTACTCAGATTTCTTTAAATTAATGTCAACCTGTTTTCATCTGCAAAGCAAATTTTGCTGTGTTTGCGGAGATAATTCTGCTGTGTTCACAGCGCCATGTTCAGGCCACACAAAGCAAGACCCCACACGCTCATGACAGTCTGCGGTCAGTCTGCTAGCTGGGATCAGTGTCCTCCTCGGACACAGTCATATCCCCTTTGCTGAATTCAGGACCTCACTACCTCAGCAAGGTGCTACCCCTCCCGGACACATTCTTTTTCCTTTCTTTCTCGCAAGCATAGAGATGTCAACCAACTTCAGCTTGCCTCTCTCAGCTTTCGGTAATACATGTCCAGGGTAGTGATAGTCTCCATGCTTAACAGATTAACATTTTCAAACACTAATGAGAACTGCATGGGTCATAAAATACTAACTAGATATTAAAACCGATTATTTTGGAGCCGGAGAGATGGGTCAGTGGTTAAGAGCACCGGCTGTTTTTGCAGCAGTCTTGGGTTCAGTTCCAGCACCACACTGTGGCTCACAGACATCTGTAACTCCAGCTTTAGGAATCTAGTGCCCTCCTGTGTCAGAGCCAGTCATGTGTGCAGTACACAGACACACAACACACAGGCAGAATGATCATATGCATAAAATAAAAATGTAAGTATCTTATAAAAGTTTATTTCTGAAAAACAAACGAGCGTCTAAAGAAACTCATGTTCGAGTCCCCTTCCAGCTTCAGGCGCTGTCTCTCTGCTTCCCAGAGAATCCGCTGCCTTGCCTGTAAACATCTGCAACCCTGCTGCCAGTGTCCTGATAGAGTTTAAATTCTCCTCCTACCAAATCACAGAATCATGGAGGGGAGATATTTAATTTTATTTTAATAGTTCTAGAATTAATGTGCACAAAAGTAACCTGTGATCTGCTGAAAAGGCAGGCCAGGGTCTCTCTCATCCGAGGCTGACTCAGAGTGATGGGTGTCCTTCTCTTACGTACTATGAGTCCCTCCCCAGGCCACACACTGACACTGGCTCTTTACTCTCGGTGATGAATTCCTGCAAACATGGCAGCTACTGGACTTGACACCCAGGATCTCCATTTTTAAGTGGAAAACCCTGACTATGACTTCTAAAACACACACACACACACACACACACACACACCCTCCTTACTGAAATTCTTAGCCTTTGAGTTGCTCCAGTTTTTTAGGTGTGATCTACAAAAGAGCAGCCTGCACCTGCAGTCTCTGGTGACATGTAAAAGGAACTGGCATGAATCTGACAATTGTCAGTTAAATGATTTCTTTACTGACATGAAACAAGAAATATTTAAACTCTGAAAAAAACTCAAAATATACTTGAAATAGAACTTACTTGGGACTAGGAAAATTTCAGAGTTTGTATGTTTTTTCATACTTTAGAATATTTTATATACCCTCCACACACATACACACAATTTAAAAAAGAAACTTTTGTTTAGAAAAGTCTGCCTTGTCTGAATGCTGCCTTCTGTATCTTAGACACAATCTTAAGAATGCTTATATCCTGAGGGAGAGCCTCGCCCATCCTGTGCACTTACGCTAATCTTGCATGAATTCCAGTGAGGTTGAAGGGAAGCGAATTTTTGAGAGAAAACACAGGAACCCATTTCTTAGCAGATGTGCTTGTATGTGTAAAATGGGGTTGAATGTTAACAAGCTACTATATACGGCATATATATAGTATACTATATATATATATATATATATACTATATACGGCTTTGGAAAGCCTCACCTGAGCAATTGATTCTTTCTCCAAATGAGCTCGAGATCCACAGGCGATGGCCATTTGATCCTGAGGTAAAAGCAACACCATAATTTTCTTTAATATTTAAGAATGACATATGAATGTACTCATCTTCAATGTAAACGTCTCACCTTTAGGAACACTTTGAAAAAATAACACAAATATTTGTAAAGTCTATTGAGGGGTTAAGCATATGCACAGCCTGGAGACAGCTAGTCATACTTCTTAGGATTCTGTTTGGTGTGGTGGCACACACCTTTAATCCCAGCACTTGGGAGGCAGATAGAGGTGGATCTCTATGAGTTCAAGGCTAGTCTGGTCTACACAGTGAGACCCTGTCTCTAAACAAAAAGAAAGTTGAACTTTAGGTAAATTCTGACTTCGCTTTTGAGCCCTGTGTGCCTGACCTTCCCATGCAGTGAATTCTTATACTCACAGGCCACGGCCGGAGATCACTCAGCCCCTTCTCTAGTTTTTCAACATCTGGAAACTTTGTGGCTCCATCAGCATCTGCCATGAGGATCTTCTCTCCTCGAGAACTGAACACACCCTGAATTCACAAATTCCAAGAGAAAGAAAGTTGCTTAGAACTAAGTTCAAACTCCACGGCACCTCAGCTCATTCTGTTTTAAGACAGCCAGGAGTGGAGTATTAGGTATAATACGGCAGAAGGAGGCCAAAGTTCATAGCTGTGCAGCTAGGACGGCCCACGTGTATCTACCGCCCATTTCACTGTTGCGAACATTTCACACTCCTCCCCTAATACCCTGCAACTGTCAGTCTGAACGCAGTCAACATGGAGGAGGGAAGCAGTCCTCAGCACTAGCACAGAAAGGAGGACACACCTCACACATCTATGTGCCCATGTTAGGGAGTAGTGTCACATGACTTGAGGCAACTTGTACACAATTAAAGAATTGTCCCTAAACAGAAATAACACACACGCATCTGTAATCCCCACTCAGGAGGAGGAAGCAGGAGGGTTTCCAGTCTGAAGCCTCATGTTCTTGAGAAGTGCACAGTGAAAGTGACTTTTCTTTATTATGGTGCCATAAGTATTTTAAATTAGTGGCTGAACGGGGCAAAGGTGCTGTCACTAACGGTTTACTGTCCGCTGGGGCAACTGACACTTGGTAAATCAGGTTGGCCATGGTACAAACCGTGACTACCTGTGCATATATTTACAAGGAAATTAATTTCTGCAGTGTGCCGGAGTGACGCAGCACTTGGTCAGCACTCATGCTGACTGCAGACATGACTCATGTATGCAACACAGAACTCTCATCATTGTCCCTGTGCTGGAGCTGGCCCTCCTCAGCATGCCTCTGTCTCCCTCAGACTCACCTCTACTGACTGCGGGCATCTGCCGTGTACCCCCCTTTCTGCTGTCAGCACCACTGTGTGAATAATCTAACCCTAGACAACATGACACTGGATGAGGACGGAGGACTTCTCTCAAGTCTGACTCTGGGTTAAGTCTAAGGACACCCAGGGAACACTGTGGGGTGACTGTGATTAGTTTACATCATCTCAATGTACAAAAATGTCTAATGAAGCATATTATTTTCCTCAACGTATGCTACTGATCTTTAAAAAGATTTAATTTATGTGTGTGAGTGCTTTTCCTGCAGGCACTGTATCTGCACAGTACATAGACAGTACGTGCAGAGGCCAGAAGGGGATACTGGATCCCAGGAATTAGAGTCACAGGCGGCTGTAAACCACTGTGTGAGGACCTGGGACCAAACCCGAGTCCTCTGCAACAACAGTCAGTGCTCTTAACCGCTGAGCCATTTCCCTAGGTTTAATGTTTTATTTTAAACAACAAAATGAATAAAGAAACAAACAAGTTAAGTGAATGAATGAATGAATCAATCAATCAATCAATGTCCAGGTGACAGAATGTCCTAGGAGTCACTTTGTGTTCATGAAGAAAAGCAAGGGAAAGGTGAGAGCAGGGCCTCTGCTGACAACCGGGAGAGCTAATGAGAGCCTGGCCTGCTTGAGGAGGCTCCTTTTTGTGGAAAATATAAACCACTAGTCTCCTCAGAGTGCTACCTGGATTTGCTTTCACATGCACTGGGTTTTTGGTCCTTTCTACAGTTTAACTTGTTTTCTATCTGACAGACCTTGACAAGAAACACCCTACCCTGGCTTGGGTCTTGAAGGCCCCTCACAGGAGCCTCTCCTCTTCACTCCACTGTGTAGACGATTGTCTCTCCTGCTGCACAGCGCTCCACATCAGCAGACCCAGGAGTCACCTGACTCCATGCTACCAGGCTCTGCTGTGCCTTCACAAGGGAAGTGCAACACACAAGTGTGTGCTGTCCTGTGTGAACAAGGACACTCTGACCTCAGCAGAGACAACAGAACACTCTACACAAACACAAACGTTTTCTGTATCATCTAGTACATTACAGACAGCATATGAAATGTAGACCTCATCAAATCAATATAATTATTAAAATTCTTGATATCTTCATTTCAATTCCTGTTATTTGATATGTGGTATTATATACTGAAAAGGAGGTTATCTATATACCTTATATTTTTCTTTTTTTTTTGGTTTTTTGTTTTGTTTTGTTTTGCTTTTTCGAGACAGGGTTTCTCTGTTGCTTTGGAGCCTATCCTGGAACTAACTCTTGTAGACCAGGCTGGCCTCGAACTCACAAAGATCCGCCTGCCTCTGCCTCCCGAGTGCTGGGATTAAAGCCATGCGCCACCACCGCCCGGCTCTATATCTTATATTTTAAACAAAAACGTGAATTATTACCATCCGCACAGCACCTCCTTTCCCGCGGTTCTGAACCAGCGTTATCACTCGCACTTTGTCACTTCCGTATTTCTGGCAGTATTTTAAAGCGACCTGTTGATGATGTAGAAGTCAGAATACAGTTACCCTGATGTGATCAGAGCATGTCAAATGCATGGACTGAAACCCCGCATTGTGTCCCATAAACACAAACACTTACCATCTGTCAGTCAGGAAACACATAATCAATATAAAGAGAAAGATGAGCAATAACTCAGATTCCACAAGTCACACTGACTGGGTGTCTTCTCACTCGGGCGGAGATACCACCACTGGCAGCTCATACCTCCTTAGATAGGATGGCCATTGGCATTTCTGTGGGAGACTGTCCTGAGTGTTAACTGAGAGTGGAAGGCCCAGCCCACTGTGGGTGGTACCAAACACTGCGTGACTGCAGAAAGTTAGCAAGCAAGCAGGCAGTGTGGGTGCACTTGTTTCTCTCTGCCCCGCACTGTGGATGTCATGTGACCAGCTGACTCCAGCTCCGGCCTCTGTGACTTCCACGTTCCTTCTTTGCGCAGGGCATTTTATGAACAACAGAGGTGAACGTGGGACAGGAAGTAACGAGCACAGCTTTGGGTTCCCCCAGCAAACGGAAATAAGCCGCACGTCCTACACGGCTCCAAGTCTCCCACCGACCAGCCGCTCTGGAAGTACACACACTTACCTGTGACGTCTGGTCTTGACTGCCGTCGTCAACCACTATCACCTCGTAAGTGAACACAGGGTCCTGCTTCTGCAAGAAGCAAAAATAACAAGTCACAATTTGGCAAAACTATGATGGAGATTAATAAAGTTATAACAGTATTTTAAATGTTTTCACATTTGTGTGTGTGTATGTGTGTGTGTGCATATGTGTATATGTGTGTGGGGGGATGACCCTGGTGCACATACAGAGGTCAGAGAACAACTTGTATGGGTCTACTCTCTTCTACCATGTGAGACACAGGTAGCAAACTCAGATGATCAAGCTTGGCTGCAGGGTCTTTACCCTATGAGCTACCTTGGCAGCCTGTAAACTGCAATTTAAAAACCATTTTCTTTCAAATTTATTTTGATATTGTATGTGTGCACACTCATGCACATGGGCCTGCACATGCATGGAGGTCAGAGGATGACTTGTAGTTGGTCCTCTCCTCCCACCGTGGCTTCTCAGGAACTGAACACAGGACATCAGGCTTGCAGGGCAAGAGCCTGTACCCCTAAGACGTCTTCCCAGCCCTAACAAAGTTGTCATTTAAGCAGCAGCTGTGTTTCTGAATATAAAATGTGCAAGCATTGAAAAAAGACATCTTTTAGGGTTGGGGAAACAGCCCCTGCAGCATGCCTGCCTAGCATGTTTGAACATCTGCATGCATGTTGAGATGTTAGGAAGCCCAGTACTGGTGACTGTTTCTGAGGGAAGGCTGTACGGCAATATTTTATTTTTGTGTGATTAGTTTATCCTTTAAAATTCTAAGGCTGTAATTTCATATCACATAATCAATATGAACGCATTTGAGAAACAAAGTTCTACAGTCTCTGTTATAAGGGCCCCAGTGGATCTCTGTACATGAATACTGCACACGCAGACATCACAGAAGTGAGTCTGCCCGCATTCACTGGTACGTAATCTACATCACCGAGCAAGAGACAATTAGGAGGGGGAGTAGACACGGGAGAAATGGCAGCTCCCTGGTTTGTCTCCTTCTGGAGGTAGCATGCTGCATGCTGGGCCTGCCTCCCACAGAGCACCTAGCTGGCGTCTGCAACTGTTGACCTGCTTCAGTTTTAACTGGAGATGGGACATTGGAGAGAAGTGATACCTGTCTCTTTTCTAGGTAGTTCAGGGCTTCATCCATCATCACGGGCACTAAAGGGAAAACAAATATTTTATACATTGCTTTTGAAAATGAGTTAGCAAACCCAGCATACTTTATTCACATAGGAAGACAAGTCTGTCATCTACTAAGACCCTCAGGGATGTCACTTCGTCTGTCCTCACCCAGAATGTCCCTTGTTCTCACCACAGGACTTTTCTAGAAGGCTTCAATCCTGCCACCTCACTTCCCCTCTTCCCAGCCACAGGTGCCAACCGTGCCTTCCTTTCTGAGGGCAAACACTGCAGGATTTCTTTTCTCCCCAAAGGACCCACTAGGGAATGAACTCAAGTAGAACTTACACCGTTTCTCTTCGTTGTAGGAAGGCACAACAACAGACAGCTGTTTGGTAGGTGAGTCCCAGATGCTGGGTAAAGTTTCCTTCTGGCCTTTGGCATTAAGGAAGAATTTCTCTTCTTCGTGTTGGTGATGTGGTGGCATTTTTGTAGCTGTTATAAATGCAATGACAGATACCTACAGGGAGATGTAAAAAGCGGGTTACAGGGCTGGAGAGATGGCTCAGAGGTTAAGAGCACTGCCTGCTCTTCCAAAGGTCCTGAGTTCAATTCCCAGCAACCACATGGTGGCTCATAACCATCTGTAATGGGGTCTGGTGCCCTCTTCTGGCCTGCAGTCATACACACAGACAGAATATTGTATACATAATAAATAAATAAATAAATATTTTTTTAAAAAGTGGGTTACATCGATCTCTTTTAATGTTTGCTTTGCTAAAACATCATTATTTGCACAATTTTAAAATTTTCATTATTTTTTGTCGCTGTTTGGGAGACTATGTAGTCTCAGGTTTGACTCTGAAGGTGATTATGCTGTTACATGGCAGCCAGGCCGTAACCAGCCCCTTCTGAACTGACGATGGTCCTTGACCCCATTAGTAATGTGCTAAATGTTTTAGGAGGCCTTGATCCACCACCTCTCATCCCCCAGGGCCTCTTCTATGCCAGATCCAAAACTCAATACAGGAAGTCCAGCCCACTCTTACAAATGGACAGCACAGTGAGTACCATATCCTGCCTGGAGCATGTATGTGGCAGGCAAGTCCATCTGGCAGCTGACCACGGAAGGACCAAACTGAGTCCTGAGTCAGCCTATTGGGCCCCACAGCAGAGACTGTAGTGCTTAAGAATGCATTCTGATATTTATCCTAAATTCCAACTAAGAACAGCATCTTTTGGAGTAACATATAAGACTTGCAGGCTCCTGGGGTTGAAACAGTCAAGAGCACTGGCTGCTCTTGCAGAGGACTTGGTTCAGTTCCCAGCACTCATGTGGTGACTCACAACCAATTGCTTGTAAGTACAGCTCTGGGGACCCAATGTCTCTGGATTCCGCATTCATGTGCATGTACACACACACATGCACACCTAAAAAGCATAAAAATACAATCCTTTAAAAAATGAAAAGAGTCTGGCTGTCCACTCTACTGTCTAGGTTGTGAGTTTTTCAAGAAAGCAATCAATGCTCCTAAGAAAACGATTAACCCAGATCTGGGGTGGGAAGGTTTATGTTAACACAGCAAAGCAGACAGAAAGCAAAATTGATCTGTACTCATGAGGGCTTCAGGAAAAGGGGAAGGTGGGCCACTCGAAGTGCTTGCTTCTCAGGCCTGGGAGGAAGGACTGCAGCATCAAAAGGGTAATCCCTGCAGTGGCTAGAAACATGTACAGAGACCGGGGTCTGTAAACATACAAGAATAAAAGCTGGCCATCGTTTTAAGACTCCAGGGAAAGAGCTCAGTGTCTTAAAGACTTGAGCCTCCAGAAGTAAAAGGTGCTTCAGGTGACTGTGAACCTGAGGACTTTTCATAAAAACAAACAAAACCCCTACAGACCCGTCTTAAAAAAAAAAAGCCAAAAAACAACTCACACGTGCATTTAATTAAATCCTCAAATCCTACAGGAAATTTGGAGGGCAGACAAAATTAAAGATGCTTGGGGAGGCAGCCTGTTAAACCCACACTGGCAAACTCAGAGAATTGAACCGGACAGGCTACTGGGAACCACAGAAAGACTAGTTAGGTTTTAAAGGCAGTTCGAATTACCTGATTGCAGTCATGGTTTTAAAAGGAGTCCCCGACAGAAATAAACGCAGATGATTTAGAGCTGAAATGTTATTTGGATTTGTTTTTAAATGATTTTTAAAAAACTGGGAGACGGTGGAGAGAAGGAATGACTGCGGGAAGATGGACGATGAGTTTGAAGATCCAGTGCACAGCACCCCAAGCGCAACAGGCACAAAGCTGTTCAATAAAGGGCACCTCTACTACTTCAAGCGGGTGGCATCTAAGAGTGCACACAACCTCATCGTGCACACACTCATCTAGATCAGTGACACTGACACAAGGCAAGGTAGCCTCAACTCAGAACTGTGCCAACAAAATCCAGGTTTGTTCCAAGCCTTTAAAGGAGGCGTTTTAGTAAGAAAGGGCTCCTGGCTCACCCAGACACACAGCGACAAAGTCACCAGGCCACACCATTCCTAGACTATGAATGTGCATGCATGGCAAGGCGACAGAAGCCTTCCTGGCCAACTGTCCAGCCACCTGGTCTCAATACCAAGAAAGCTTTTCAAAATCTCCGTTTACTGAATGAGTGGCGGTCTCTTTCAAAACCGTGGCAAAGTTCTGTTGGCGAATCTGCATTTTTCTACATACACACCAGCAAGGGTCTGCAACGTTCCTAGAGGAATGGCAAAGAAAATGCTAAGGTGCTTGATTCTGGGACAAAACGACCCCTGGCCGAAAACAAGAACGAGGCCTGGGCCCGTTTCTCCCTCACCCACCGACCCTAGTCTGCTGGGTCCACTGCTCTCTTCCTGGCTGCAGCACATGGCACACCAGAGAGCTCCGAATTGCAGCATCTGGAGGACCAAGATGAAGGCTGGATAGGCGGGGGTCCGGGAACAGAGACCCGGAGAAGCTGGGTGGGGACGGGTCACTTAAACAAGGTCCATAGGGGCAAAAAAAGGGTCAAGGATTTCAGGGGATCTGAATGCAAGAGACCCGAAAACGAGTGGGAAGTGCGGAGGGGAAGCCCGGAGCCCGGAACTCCACCACGGTCTCACCAAAATGAGCACGGCGGCCGCAAGCGCCACGCCGAGCCCCGCCAGCTGCAGCAGCAGCGCAGACATCCCGCAGCTCCACAATTGCGGAAGCGCCGAGCGACGCCGCGCCCCTTCCAGCCCGGCCCCACAGGAGAGGCCTTGCTGGCCCAAGGCCGCCGCCCGCAGCGCCACCACACGGCCGCGTCCCGCCACTGCAGGAGCCCAGCGACACCCGCAGCGCCCTCGCGCGGCTCCACCGAGGGTTGCACGGCCAGTCCTGGAGTGCAATGCACTGGTCGTGTGCGGACAGCGCTGCCAGCCTCACACCCGTGCTCTGCAGTGCAGTCATCTAAGGGTGCCTGGCGTCTTAGATGCTTTAGAGTCTCCCCGGTTAATTTCGCGCGTGTATATGTGTGTGTGCGCACAGGCCCGTGGGAGCCGGGACGTGGGACCCCGGGGTTGGCGTCAGCGGCGGTTGTGACCGTACCGACCGGGCCTCCCCATCAGGTCTGGTCCTAAGCCGGCGCTCGTGGGACGCCCGGGCTCCCCGGAGATGCTGTCCAACCACAGCACAGCACAGCACAGCAGCCTCCACGGAAGGAGCAGCTTCTCCACCCAGGACTCCTCCGAGTCGCCTGCGCAGGATGTAGGCGCGGCGGGCTGCGCAGGCGCGGGCGCGACGATGGCGGCCGGGTTCAAGTGAGTGGTGGTGCACGCAGGAGGCGCGAGTGTGGCGCGTGGCGGCGGCGGGGACCCGAGTGATCGTGGGGCCGCGGGAGGGCTCTGCCCACTGGAGGCGCTGAGCGACAGCGCAGCCAGGACGGCACCGACCTCTAATCCGAGCGCCACGCCGCTCCTCACGGGAAACCAGAGTTTCATTGTTGATATGACGTGGATGGTGGTAAAATGCTGATAACAGAATATCTAGCCCTTGTCATTATATGCTATTGATCCAATAAAAATCAAAATCAACTTAATGGCTTTATTTTCCAACATTCATTACCTCCCAAGCATGTGGCAATTTAATTTTCAAATATAAATAATGAGAGAAGATTCATTAACCACTATTCATATTTAAAATAATGTCTTCATTTTGCAACGGCAACACATTGTTTTTTTCAAAATCAAGACATATAAGATATCTTTTAGTAAATTATTAATTAGCCAGAGGGGGACCTCACTTTTTTTATTATCAAGAAAATAATTCCCTATACTATATTTCATCCAAGTCTTGTAAAACAACAATTTAATCTTTCTGTGATCAATGAAAATTACCGAATTTAAGTTACAGGAATTCCCAGATATGACTAATTTAAAAGTTAATGTAAATACATCAATTTATTTTTATTTCCCTTATAACCAGAGGAAGGAAATGAAGTACAAAACAAAACACATGTTTGGATTTCCAGTATGAGGACTTGTCACATGTCAGGAGAGGGGAGTAGGAGAGGGAGGTGATATTAGAGTGAGAGAGAGAGGAAGGCAACAGATGAGAAACAATAAATTCAGGATCCGACCAGCATTCGAAACAGACAGACAGAAAGCAAGAAGAAAAGTTACTTCCCAAGTTTGAACTCAGGGAGCTGACAAGACCAAATGAAGCTCAAGGCGACTTCATGGTAGCCTGGAGGGGCTGTGTTAGGGGCAGGAATTCTGGGAAGCAAAAGTACAGTGCCTCACTAGAGGAACAGTTATTCTCCTGTGTCTTTAGCACGGCTTAAGGTGAACCTGCCTTCCTGGTAGTGTTTCCTTGGCTGGATGGTTTATCAGACCCAGAAGGAATGTTAAGTCTTCACTCGGGACAGAGGCTCTGTCCACTCCACTAGAAGGAGTTCTCAGTGATGCTTTATTGCTCTTCTAACAAGTTATCGTGAGCTCTTCTGCGCTCATTTCTGAATAAATGCTAAGCCTCACCATAGGATTTATTCACGGATTTGCTAACTGTTAATCTTCTTAAGTGAACCGTGCTCAAGGATATTGATCTCCTTTCCCAAACTTACCAATAGTTAGAGAAGTCAGCCGGAGGGTGCAGGTGAGTAGGGAGGGGGTGTAAGAGCAGAACGGGCCCCACTCCTTGCAGTCTGCTACAGTGGGTGAGCTGGCCTAGGCAGCGCTGGAGAGCTCGCCTGGGTGGTGACAGTGAGGACTAGCTGGCAGGCTGACACCCAGCTAACACCCAGGCCCAGAACCAGACCAAAGAGGTAGCCCACCTCAACACCCACCCCATCTATGAACTGCTGGAGCATGTGAAGGGACCGAACCTCTAAATCCAAAGCTACAGGATCTCCATGTCACAAGGCAACAATAGGATATCCAAGAGGAGTCCTAGTGATGGCCCAGTATGGAGAGTATAGCAGAAGTTAGAGTCCTGGAGCCAGACCAATGACTCATTGCAAGGAACACTTACAAATATAGATGTATGGATTAAAGGGTGACTGTGTGGCTCACTGGGCAGTGCAGCTGCTGGAGGCTGGGATTCTTTTGTTCGATTGGTTTTCTATTTTTTTTTTAATTTTTTTTCTTCTGAAGGGGAAGTCACGAGGGCAGACAGCAGAGACACGGGGATGGGGAGACGAGTAGGGTTGGGGTGCAAGACCTGAAATCCACAAAGGATCAATAAAAAGTTTAGTAAGAATTTCAACACTCTTCAACACAGGCTGTGCTAGAACCTGGTAACTCAGACTGGTCTTCAGTTCCTAGTGGTCCTCTTTCTTAGCCACTCCAGTGCTGGTATTTAGGGCACGATCCACCATGCCCTGCTCTCCTAAGATTATTTTAGGTTTCATCTGAGAAATGAGTTTCTGAGGGTTCCCAAGAAAAGGATGGCACAGTCTCAGCGATAAGGACCATGCCATCAGAATAGCCTGTGGGACCGCTGGAGTTAAGACAGTGTGAGTGGTGAGCAGTAGGGGGATGAGAGGGTGGGAATACAGTACTTCTGTGTGGAATTTAAATAAACCATGAGGCTAAGTCAGCGTGCAATGCATATGAAATCCACACTAGTGCACTGGCCACCCTACTCATGGTCCACTCTAATGCCCAGCTCCAGCATGTTCTGGTACTCCGTGGGGCATTGGTGGCATTGGCTCTCTGTGCACAGGGAGGGTTTTGATCTTTAATATTGCACATCATTACAGTTTTTCTATGTTGACATACACTGACTCTTGCTATTCTGTTATAACTCCACACAGTATTCAGTACAGTGACAGTTAGTCCAGGTTTATGACCCCCAAACAATACCGCAGAAATAGAGCGGATTTATGCCTAAGTTTATTCAATTTCTTTGCACAATGAAGAAATCCTGTAATCATTCCATTTTTTTTTTTAGAATGTGCTACATTTTTATGTATGGCTATAGGTGAAAAAAGTAACTTTGATTTTAAAGGTATAAACATTATACACACTGAAATTGTGATGCTTAACGTAGTCAGGAAAAAGACCTTTGGGGTCGAAAGACCAATGACAGCAGTGAAAGCAATAGCTTACTCAGTAGCTTATTGTGGATGCTTTCTTCCATGAAGTGCTCTCAACTCCTCAGATCATCCCCGACTCCCTCTGGACCCAGGACACCAGGTGATGAATCAGGAGTCCTCTGATGACTTCCTGCATCCTGCCTTGTGGATCAGAGCCAACAGATTCTGATTACTGAAAACAGGTTCATAAAGACAGTTGGATGACAAACTAGGCCAACAATTTTCCATACTCGTTTTTACTGCAACTTTTTGATTCTAGAAAGAATAGATAATTATAATTATATTCTTGCCATTGGCCACCCCAGCTGGGTATGGGAGTTTTGGGGGCTTGTTTTCTCGAAGACTAGGTGGGTAAGGGTTCGGCAGTGACAAACAGAAACAAACACGGAGACAGTTTGAATCTGAGTGTATTTTACAGCTCTCAAACAAGGGTTTTTATACAAGAACAGGTATTACAATTCCTAAAAGATGTTCAGTGAAGCAGTTACAAAGAACAATTATAATCACCTGGCACAAGAAGGCCCAAAATCAATCAGGTATTACATTTCCTAGACAGTGGATTCAAAGAATCAATTACGAATGGAACAGATAACATCTTAGTCACTAAACAAAATAATACAATAAATCACTTATAGTTAATGGATGACTCCTAGGTCCAGATCAAGTTAATAAATTTTCATATGTAATCCTTATCTAAATCTAGCTTTTGTCTTATTAAAAATCCTCAAATTTCAATGTAAAACTATACTTAAGCAATGCTTTCTACACCACAATGTCAAAGCCAACTTCATCTACACACGCACAGCCATACAAATTCGTATATTGTTGGGAGGATATTTTATCAAAGTATTATTTTGTAATTATGTAAATGATTATGAAGCAAAGTGTTAAATCTCTTAGAAAAGAGGTCGTGGCCAGTAACCCCAATTCAAGGGGGTGGCTTCTTATCCAAATTTCTCACTTAGAATCTCAGCCCAGGCTATCAGGAATATCTCATAAATATTAAAAGGAAATAGAAGCAGACAAACTGCCATGAGAATTACGGCTCAATAATTTCTCTCCGGCTAGAGAGTTCCACAACCTGTTCCAGGAGACCTCCTCCCTTTGGAGTCTAATGCCTCAGTCTGTGGAACTTGTCACACAGAATCTATTGGGGTTGGTGTGGCATATTCTATATGTAATTTTTGAATATCATTTATTTCATGGTATTTTTTAAGAAAGCTCAATTCTGCTCTCTGTGTTTCCTTACTGTCACTCTGTGTTAAAGTTATAAAGCCCACTGCTTTGTACATACTATTGACTCAGTGATGGCCATTAGCTACAACATATGAGGACACTCGGTGGGAATCACATTTTAAATGGAGATGGGAAGTACTTTGTGGTCACTGTACTCTTGTGTTCATATGATCGACTGACCCCACTTATCTCATGGCCATTGCACGGAGTTCAGCTATGTTCATTTTAGCCCTAGGTTAAGAGTACAGAACCCTGTGAGGCAACACACGGGGTTCCGCATTATTAGACTTTAGGTCACAAACCCACATGTATGGTATTCCACGATGATGCCAACCTGAGAGCCTGGGGTGGCCGAAGTGTTAAAAATTGAAACAGCAATATGTGGAGAGTGTTAAAAGCATCAATTATCAAACAGGCTCCGAAAATTCTAGCGAGCAGAA